AGTAAGCAAGTGCTCAACTGTCTCTGACACAGTGATGCCTTTCCCAGGTCCCTTCAGGATGTTTGAAACACTCTCTGTTCCTGCAGCTAACATTTGAGTGGCTATGAAGCACTCTTCACCCCTGCAGCTAGCATTTGTGTGGCTGTGAAGCACTCTTCACCCCTGCAGCTAACATTTGAGTGGCTATGCACTGCAGATCTGGCCTATTCCAGAATATCAAGTAGACTCAATTTATTCCTTAACATCTAAAATCCTTCTATCAGGCTCTCTTCAATTTACCTTGCAGTATCAGTCCCAGAGGAGCCTTCACGTCTTTTGTGTTTCTAACACTGAGTTTGGGTTGAGGAGTCAGACTTGTCTCCTAGTTAGCTACGAATGTGTTTGCCATAGCATATCTGGGGACGAGGTTCACAGAACCGGAGTCCCTATCACCCATCCCCTACCTGAGGATAGCCTAACATTTTTGTCACAACTAACTGACTGTCACACAGAATCAGACCCATCTGAAGGGAGGACTGTAAAACATATAAACCTGTCACAAAAGGAATGTTGGTAAAATTCTAATTTTTAGAGTAAAATGTGTGGGGCTTTTTATTTCTCCTGGGTAAAATGTCAGAAGATGCACGTGTTAAGGACACAAAAGGTATTTAAATAGGTTGAGCCATTCTAGACAAGCCTTGGAAAGTGCACTTGTGTCTGTTCCTGTCTATGCCCCCTGCTGTTGTGTTTCAGCCATGTTTCACCTCCTCTTCTATAGGTCTTCAGTGAGGATGGTCAGGCTGTGGTCTCCAAATCCAGTTTGTCTGGTTTGAATTCCAGGTCAGCTATGCTCTCCCCAGCTATAACCTGGAGTAAATGAGTTGCTTTGCTTCTCTGTGCTTCTCGGGCAGTCAGTCTTGACTTCATAGAACCATTGTGGGATTGGGTAGAGTGTGTGGACAATGCCCTGTGTGCGAAAGGCACCCAGCAGTGCAAAGAACCACTGTGGGATTGGGTAGAGTGTGTGGATAGTGCCTGCCCTGTGTGCGGAAGGCACCCAGCAATGTGAGTCATTGTTAGCAGCACTCTCTGTTTATGGTGGCCTCCTTCCTTTCTGAACTCCTCTGTCATCGCAGAGTGTGATAATTTGTAATTTTCCCGTAAAGAATAGTTTTATGCCCAGTCATATTTCTGGTGCTCTCATCTATCACTTAAGAAACAAGAGACTGCGAGGCAAATACATGACAACACCATTACCATTACCCTGCCACCGTCAAGGCAACCAGTGAGCATCCCCCAACACTATGATGAACATATTCTAAAAACTAGACTCATACATTGGTGCTTCTCGAATGGAAGTGACATTAGAACCGAGATCATGGTAGACCGGTTCTTACCTCCACTGTGGTCAGCAATTTGCTGAAGAGTTGCAGACACTGTGACTTCCTGATTTTATAACAGCTCCCAAGTGTGCTGCTGACACCACAGAAACTTACTAATTATTCAGAAAACAGCTTATACGGTAAAGTCCTATAGCTTGGTTTTCAAGTTAATTAGATGGCAGCAGGGCAAGAAAAAACAAGAAAAAAAGAAAAGCCAATGTTTCAAGGGTTACAGATGTAAATATTTTATATGAAAATATCAAAATTGAATAATGTGTATGAATAAGTAAAATCACAAACTGTAGTGATCTCTTCCATTAGCATGTGCGTATCCAACATTTGTTGTTCACTGTATTTGTGGACTGGAATATGGTGGTGAATGTGACCTAACTTCTCCTCGGGGACATAAGATAGGCAAAGTCTATCTTCTAGAACCTTCTGTGACCTTCTTTTTCTATGGAAAAGGTCTGTCCAATATTGTAGCCAGTTACCAACTAAGGTTATCAAATACCCCAAATGTGACATGTGCCTTTGAAGAGGGATTTTAAATTTATTTAATTTTAACTAATTTTAAGATAAATAGCACCATGGGCTGGTGGCTACTATATAAGGCAGGTCGGTCCCAGGGTCAGTCACTGTGTGTATCAAGTTTTCCAGAACCATCTAGTCAGAGTGATTTGGAGAAGCACCCCAAGATCCTGTGGGACTGTTGATCATTCAGCAAAGATTTCATTCACTCAGACATTTTAAAGATCTTTCGCAATAAAACACATGTGTAGCTTAGCCACAAGTCCAAATTGAGGGAGGAACCCTGATTTGGTCCAGCCAAGTCTGGCAGCTTCGAGGCCTGTTTATTACTTTAGATTCCGCTCGTCATCCCGAGGGAGAGTCGCTGGGCACAGGCCCTGAAGAGAAAGGGGTAGAAAGGTGTCAGGATCACCATGACTCCTCTCCTGTGTTCACTCCCTGGTACACGTGTGCATGTGTACTACCCATGAGCATGTAAACATGTGGTACTCCGCTCTCCACATGGAAAAGAATGCCTTCCTGGAATGCAGAAATGTCAACAGCTTTGGGCATGATGAGATGTACTTGGCCCAGCACATTGGTTCTCTTTCTTAACCAGCTGCTCTTTGGAATTCCTTCTGAATGGTTTGCATCCTCAGCAGAGGGAACCAAATGAACCCCCCCTCCCCATACCCCTGAGGTCTGTTCTGGAGACCTGAGGCCCCCGGCAGGAAGTGGATAGGCAGCACTCCAACGTCCCACTGAAAAGCTGTGACATGGAAAAGGTATGGGTTGAGGAGTTATGGGCTCCGCATGGAGCTGGGGGTACCCTCAGTAAGTCAGTCCCTGTTTCTGAGCTTTGATTTCTTCCTCAGCCAGACTAAAGAGCCACATCAGACTCAGGCTTGTTCTAGTTTCCTTTCTGTTGCTGTGATAAAACACTTTAACCAAAAGCAATTTAGGGAGGAAAAGATTTATTTTAGCATGCATGTTGCAGCCCATCATTGGGGAAAAACCTGGGCAGAAACTCAAGGTATAAACCATGGAGGGACTACTGCTTGCTGGCTCGCTCACAAGCTCATGCTTTCTCATACTGCCCAGGATTACCCGCCTAGACAATGGGTCTCTTACATCAATAAAGAATTAAGACAATCCCCTAAAGACATGCCCGAATTAGACCAATCTCATCCCTTAGTTGAGACTCTCCTTAGTTGCCTCTAAGTTATGTCAGGTTGACAGGACAAAGATGAGACAGCCAAGAATGGCTTCAAGCCATTCTTATTTTCTTCTGTATTGTCTAAGTAGATCCAGGAGAGTATAGGCAGAAGTTTCTGTCCAGCTAGCAAATCCCAAATAAACACACCAAGACATAGTATTACTTATAAATGCTCGACCAATAGCTCAGGCTTATTACTAACTAGCTCTTACATTTTTAAGTTAACCCATGTTCCTTATTTATGCTCTGCCATGTGGTGGTTGGTTCCTTTATTAGCATGGCACATTCAGCTACTGTTCCCTCTACTTTGGGTTGATGTCTCCTGACTCTGCCCTTCTCCTCCCATCATCTTTAGTCGCCTTGGCTATTCCTGCCTGTCTACTGGCCAATCAGTGTTTTATTAAACAAATTTGAGTGACAAATCTTTACAGTGTACAAGAGGATTATTTATTCCACAGCAGGAGAGGGCTATCTTTTCTAAGGGCAACTGGACCAGGCTCTTTGCGGCATCCCTCATAGTCATCTACTTGGAATGGGATCAATATGGACACCAATGAAAAAGATCACAGATGAGTTTTTCACTGAGGCTCCCTGTGTGTGTCTATGGGTAGCAGGGTTATGCTGATGGTATGATTCACTTTGGTGAACTTGTGTAACACAAGGCACAGCCTTTGTCAAGCCGGGCCTGATGGCTTCTACAGCCACCTATTAGCTGGTTCTTGGGCTGTATCCTCACTTGGATGACAGAAAGGAACAAATATCTTCACTCCTAGGTCTGGAGTTTTGCTTGTGGTCACTGCTGCTCTTAGGAGAGAGAGGGACAGCATGGAGAATGGTGAAGTGGTGGCTTCCTTGTAGAGGCCCGTAGAAGAGGCTCCATTCCATCTTGACTTAAGATCAGAGAGTTCAAGCCTGTTATTGCTTCTTCCAGGTTAAACCATAGCATGTTTAGCCTAAGGTGTGGTTATTGTATGTCTTACCTAAACCACAGGATATTTGGCCTGAGGTATAGCTAATTGCTGTCTTACCTAAACAACAGGATATTTGGTTAAGGGTATGATTACTTGGTGTTTGGGGTGTTAAGGGGGTAATTATACTTATTTGTTCCTTGTAGCATGGTAAGGAAGTCTTTTGCCTCCCCCTTTTGATTGGGGAAGTTTATTACTTTAAGTAATAAACTTGGGGCTGATCACAGTATTACTGGATGCCCGCCGACTCTATCTCTTGTCTCTAGTCTCTTTCTTTCCTCAATCAGCACTCCTCCTGTCAAGCACAGACCAGACAAGCCTGCTAGACCAGACAGTTCCCCTATTCACCGCAGCCACCAGCAGCACATACCTGAGCCCCTCAGCCAGCAGCAGCATATACTGGAGCCCAGTCAGGAAGGTTTCGTCCTCCAGGCCCTGGTTCAGCCACTCTCCACAGAGGAAGAAAAGCAAGGGGAAGACCAAGCTGCTTTCCTCAGGCCCTGCTGGGGGTGGGTGGTGTGACACAGGCTCACAGGCCTCCCCACTGACCCTTGAGGATGGTACAAATGGGCCTATATTCCTCAGTCAAATTCCTTGGGAGTGCCATTAGGATGCAGAGAAATACCCAGAGTATGGCCCTCACAACAAGATACCCCCCATTCTGTGTCAGGAGGCAAGCTCTGGGGTTGGTGGAGGGTGGCAGACTGACAGTGTGTGGGGAAGGGCCAGCAGTCCTGTCCACTTGTCCATACTGCGGTGAGCTGGGTGGGTGAGGAGCTCCGGGTCCTCAGATTCCTCTTTGCCTCCCTGAGGGCACACAGGGGTCAGAAGACAGATGGATTTCAGAGCCCAGGAGCCCACCCTGCAGGTGGTTTCAGGCAGGTTTCCCTTGATGGTTATTGATTTCCTCACTGAAGTGGCTTGGTTTCTTATTTATGAGATTTGAAATATTCATGCATACACATTTATTTACTTTCCATGTTCTGGGCACATATACACATTTTATACTGGCAACAGTCTAGATAACAGAAAGTGAAATGTATTCAATGTCTCCTCTTCATGCCAAAGGTCTTTACTAATCTAAATCCATACACAAGGCAGAGGTCGGGGAATTTTCTCTCTAGAGCTGAGTATCACCGAGCTTTCAAAGCCTTCATTTTTTTTTTCCACGTGAAAGGGACAGCCTGCTGAGATGTATTTTCTAGCCCCTGCCCTCGCACCACCATTTCCCAAGTTGATTAGTGTTCAGCTGATTGTTCCTGCTTATTAAATGGCCTTCTATTCTTTTGACCTCTCAGGACTAATTTGGTAATAAACCAATCAATCAAGAACATAGAAACATGGTTTCCTGTTCATTTTTAGAGTGAGCAGATCTTGGCTGCATACAGCACCAAACTTCCTTAGCTTCCAAAATATTTACTGTGATTTAAGAAAGCAGGTGTACTGAGACAGAAGTCACTCTGCCTGGCCTGATGGCCCCTGGGCTGCTGAGTCACAGGAAGTGTCTGGGAGGGCAGCCACAGACCTTCATCTCTCTCTCGTCTCCTGGAATGAGTAATTTTAACTGGGTATTCCTAACAAAAAAGCAATTGTGACTTCAGGAAGTGCACAGTGCTATTAATTAGACTAGAGATTTACTGAATCCACATCTGGGGCAAAGTCCCAGATAAGGCTTCCATTTTATCTCTGTTCCTTAGTCATTCATTATTCCATGTGACCTCAATGCAACAGCCATAGAGCGGCCAGTGACCCCATTGTTAAGACAGTGCAGGATGCTGTCTTGTCTCCAGCCGTAGGACCATGCATGATCCAGGGCTCCATCCTTCTTCTGCTGCCACGGGCCTGAGGCAGCCTACTCTCCAGTTGTCTCCTTCTGGCTCTTTTTGATGGCCGGACTCCTCTTTGGTGTCCTTTCCAGGCCTGGAGCATCGGGTTGGGCAGACTCACCCAAATGGTGTTTCAAGGGGCACTCACAGAGGGAAGCATGGAACGTCTCTGAATTTGGGATCCGGCCAATGGAGAGTTTCACTTTCTAAGACACAAGACAGGAGACAATTAAATGACTGAAGATTATCCTTAGGCTCCCGTCCTGCATACCCTGGGGACTTGTTCTGAAAGAAAGTCCTATAATGAGCTATGATGAGCCAAAGGCAGCTGCAGATGACCTGTGCGTTCAAGTGGAACACGGGCTTTCATTTTCTGATATCCACTGGCCTAAGCCTCTAGTCAGGTTCTGAAAAGTTCTGATGGCTCACTCACTGTGCTGGCTGGTGTTGTGTTAACTTCACACAATCTAGAGTCATTATGGAAGAGGGAACCTCAGTTAGGAAATGCCCCCACTACATTGGCCTTCGGACAAGTCCGTGGTGCATTTTCTTGATTGACAATTGATGTGCAAGAGCCCAGATCACTTGTGGGCATTGACATCCTCGGGCCAATGGTCCTTGGTGCGATAAGAAAGCAGGATGCATAAGCCATTAGGAGAAACCATGTAAATAGCGCTCCTCCATGGCCTCTGAGTCAGTGCCTGCCTTAACTTCCTTTGGTGATGGACTGTGGTACGGAAGTGTAAGGGAAATAAACCCTTTCCTTCCCAAGTTGTTTTGGTCATGGTGTTTTATCACAGCAACAGGCATCTAACTAAGACAGCCACAGAAGGATCCAGTTGCTCCAAGAACTCAAAGGGCCTCTGGAACTCTGTGCATCCAAAGGAGACCACCATCCAGGAAAGGCACAGACAAAAGCAGAAGGAAACGGGAATTTGACGTTTCTCTTGCAGCTAACCATTTCTTACCCCTCTAAACACGCACGCGATCACCTCTGCCTCTAAAAAGCTGTCACACTTCCCCCTCAGCATCTCTACCCCAGCCCTATGACCGCTCCCGTCTCTCTCCACGCGGCTAAAGTAGATGGGATTGGCTCAGACATGTGAGACACAGGGGATGCCCTTCCTCCCATGTGTGCTTTCAAGAACCAGGAGTTTACATTTTAAAAGGGGGCTGGCTATGTTTTCACATAAAAGAAAGCGGTTGGAGTGGTGGGGAAGGAGGAGAATTTTCTGTCTCTCTAGCCCAGTGGTTCTCAACCATCCCGATGCTGTGACCCTTCCTTACAGTTAGTTCCTCAACCATAAAATTATCTGCATTGACACTTCATAACTGTAATTTTGTTACTGTTAGGAATGTAAATATGTGATATGTAGGTGATCTGATATGTGACCCCTGTGAAAAGGTTGTTCAGCCCACATGGGATGGAGACCTACAGGTTGCAAACCACTGCTCTAAATAATCACATTGGTGGATATCACAGTGGTCAGTACTGTGCAGGAGTTGCTCTCGGATAGGTGATGAAGACAAGAGCAGAGGAGGGGCGCAGTCTAGAGGGGGGTCAAGATGAAGACCAGGTGGCCACGTAGGTGAAGGTTTAGATGTGTGCCCAGTCAAAACCAGTTTTCTTGATCACTGAGCACACGTGTGGATCTTTGGGTCAGAATAAGAGTAACTTCTGGAAGGTACACATGGTTTTCTTAACCCTTGGGCCATAGGGTGGACCTTTGGGAGATGCAATGAATTCTAAGTTACCCGACTATTGGACTGGGTCCCTCGACGCAACCTCTTCTCTGCCACACAAACCTGTATCATGGGTTGAACTCTTGAGCCAAATGCCATCTCCTCTGGGAAACCTTCTGGCTTTCCTCAGAAGACTGATCTATTCTGCCTCTACACTTCCCGTTGACACCCCAAAACACACATTGTATTCTAAGAAGTGTCTACGATACTTGTTCTACCCACTAATCTGTGAGCTACTTAAGTGCAAGCAGAGGCCCCTTTTGGAGCCTTGGAGCATAGCACAGTATCCAGTAGAGAGAGATGCTCAATAGGAGTGAGGGAGCACTCGGATGTAGGAACCCTGGTCCTGCCGCTAACTAGTTTTGCGTTTACTTTAGTCACACGCCTGACTGGTCTTACCCTTTTAGATAATAGCAATAATAACAATTTTTCAGCTGGTAGACTTATTGAGTGATGCTGAAGAGACAAGATGAGTCCTTAATACACACGATATATAACCACAGACTCCCAGGGCCAGGAGAGGGGTCTTCAGTGTTGTAGTTTATAGAAATTTCAAGTCAAGGCCCTGTGTTTTCCAAGAATGTTAAATGGGTGGTCCAAAATGTTGGATGTACCTGTTTTATAAGAGATAAATGCAAGTGACCTTAACTGAACCAGGGCATGTTGTCCCCTCCTCTCCTTTCTCCCTAGTTAGCGCCCAGTGAGCCAGGAGGTACAGTTTGAAAATTACAGGAAGGAGGGGATCCTTGCTCTGCTCCTCACTTTAGAGAGAAGCAGCTAAACACTGAGAAAGAAGGCAATGGCCTCCCCAAGGTCATCAGGCTAGAAATCAAAGTGGGCTTAGAAGGAATGAACAACGTGAAGACCGTACGAGCCAGAGAGGCCGTTTAAGTGCAGGGAGCCCTTTAAAAGCAGATACATGTAGTGTTGAACTCCATGTGTTGCTTGTTTTTCATAATAACCCCATGCAGAAGGCATGGCGGTGTCAGGTTTTAGATGAGAAAGTCACGTTCAGAAAAGTGAGCCTCTCCCTGTCCCATGGCCCATGCAGGTAGAGGTAAAGTCACAGTAAGTGTGTTGTGTACCTAATCTGTGCCAGAGACATTGCATGCGTGTTACAGCATGTCACCTCATTTGACTCTTAACAACTGGTGCAATCACTGTCCCTAATTTTACAGTCCACAAGTAATTCTGAGCCATCGGAGTGCTCTCTGCACTTCGCAGCCTCTGAGGTCAGAAGGCCAGAGCCCCCTCTTCTAGCCCCAGTAGCATTCATACAGAAGACAGAATTTCATCCTTGTTCTGCATGGTTCCCAGACTCCCTCTCAGACCTTGTTCCCCCTGGTGCTGACTTGGTCTGGTCAGGGATGGTTCATGGGACTCACCTCCTTATGCATACACCGGGTGAGAAAGAAGGACACCTCCTCCAGGCTTTGGGGCTTCAGGTCATTCACGGCCAAGATATGATCTCCATGGCAGAATAAGCACCCAAGTCGGGGAGGGCCTTCCCACCGAGCCACACTGCAGTGGGAACACAGCATCCAACAGGAAAATGAGATAGAGTTCATTGGCTCACCATGGGGGCAGGAATGCGGCCTGCAGCATCGCCTCACTCTCTACCGCCTTGCCCCACATTGGAAGTCAACCATCTCCTTCTGTTTGGACTAACTTCCTCCCTGCTCCCTCCCCTCCCAACCCTGCTCCAAGCAAACCACCCCTGCAAGGCCCTGCCAAGTCCAGTCTCATGTTCTGCTTGTAGTTAATCTCTCCTGTGCCAGGATGTGTAATTATGCTCCGTGGGAATACTTTAATTGTAGTTCTGAATAAGATGTACTTTTTATATTTATTTATTCATGTGACTCTCCTTTTTATCTGGCTTTGTGACCTTGGGAGTTCAGAACTACCTTTTTTGTTTCCTTAGTTGGTGTTTAAAAATTCATAACTCCACACAGTTCTAAGAAAACAGGATGCTCAACAAATGTCTGTCAGAAGTGAGCTCACAGCACACAGCACACTGGGATCTAACGAGTAGGTGAGTGAACGGACCAGTGTGTAAGCCTGGTCACAGACACATCCATGGGCTGAGCAGGAATTTACAAGTCTCGGATTGCAAAATCTTTGGAAACATGGAAAGTTATGGCATTTTCTTTATATTGGAGAGTTATCTCGTAAATATTCAATCTTCCACCAAAATGAATTAAAACAGGCTTATTTGTTTTAAGATGGGGAAGGGGAGAGGGTCTTGTTATGTAGTTAAAGCTGCTGTGAAGCTCAGGCTGGCCTTGAACTCGATTCTAGGGAACTAAGATCACTGGCCTGTGCCAACACACCCAGTCACAGTCTAAGAGGATGTAGAATCCGATAAGTAGTAATTATGTTTAAAAAAAAATGCCTGCCACACAGACTTTTGTGTTGTGTTTTGGAATAGAGGTTTTGATTGGGTTATGGGGCTCTTAGGTCGGGGAAGCTGTAGCCATGCCTACTTAGGGGCTGGCTACAGGTTCCCCTACATATTAACTTTGCTCTTTCCTCTCATTCGAAATATTCACTCTATGGAGTTTGGGAACAGTGCCCTTGACAGCCACTCTTCTTTGAAGAATCAGAAGACTCTGATTCCTAACCTTTTTGGGTCATCTTAAATCCCCTCAAAAGTTGACCTTCCATGTAACAGTGATCTTTCTTCCCCCAGCCCTCTCTGTGGTGACACAGTAGTCCCAGGCCTCAGTCAGTTTTGTCAAATGCAGGGTTTCAGAATGAGGGTGTCCTTCCGGCTTAAGCCTGTTCATTCGGTGTCATCCACAGCCCCACCTACCATATCTGTCCTGCAGCTTCTATGAGAGCAAGGTAGTCGATGGCATCCCGAGGAGAGAGGAACACGTTCAGAGTTTCCACTTGGCTCTCACTGGGGATGTTGCTGAGACAGAAAACATTTCTTTAAGTTGCATCAAACAGCCAACTGTCCCTGGTTCTGAACTATCCTTTTAGAGTGCATTTTTTGGCCTTCTGTTTCTGAGATGACATTTCCCAGCTAACACTTGTCTAAAACATGAAGAAAGAAACATGAATTTCAGGCACTGAAAGTCATTCATTACGTCCTTCACTGCCCCTCTTGGAATGTGCTAGTGGCTGACAGACGGGGAGGGAAGAGGAAAACTGGACTAAGTGGGTTTATAACCACTCATCAGGTCAGTTTGCATATTTGTCGTCTGGAGATTATTCCGTACAAGAGGACAGGGAAAGCAGCTAAAATGACAGCTATCTTGTCAAGTGCCCTTGATATCACCTAGGACCTAAATGTCCCCCTTCTCATCTGCTCAGTACCTCAGGAGGCTGCCCAGTGATGCTAATGTGAGAGGCTGATGAGGCACACTTATGCTGGATCAGTGCTGTCCTGGTTTTAGGGCCCAAAAGCCTGGCCAAGGGGAAAGTGTTAAAACAGTTGGAAAAGCCACCCCTGTCCCTGGGGACCACTCTTCCCCCAACTCTACCATTTACTGCCCATGCTCACAACATCAGTGACACAGAGAAGCCTGTCCGATTCTTGGCTGACTTGGAAATTTTGAGGCACTACTTTGAAATTTAAATATTAAGTGCATTTAAGGCATCTGTCTTGCTCTTAGGGCCCACAAAGTTTTAGAAATGAGAGCTTTACTTGAGTAATATAGACAATTTCACAACAGTTAGTGAGGCCGACCCATTTTTGTCATCTGTGGTTTGTGTTTCTGGACCAGCAGGTGAAACACACAGATAACTTGCTGTGCCATGTTCTTGCAGGGGAGGATCCTGCTCTGGACTCTTCAGAGAACTCTGGGATTCGGCTTGGCAGTCGGCAGATGCAGAGGTTGGTTCTTTGAAGAGACTAGAGTATAAGAAGGTAAACAAGGCTCTGTTTAAGCACACATGGTGACAGCTTTCCACTCTACCTGTCAAGTATGAGCATCTAACAGCCATAAGAAGTCTATTTGACCATCAGAACCCCACAGAGGCAGAGCCGAACTCAACAAGCTTTCCTTCTAAAACTGGACTTGGAATCGAAATAACCCTTTTCAGAGTTTGGAGGACAGGGTGAGAGTGAGAGAGACAAAAGCAAAAACAAACAAACAAACAAACAAAAACCCAAAACAACAACAACAACAAAACCAGAGGACTTCTGAAGACAGAAGAGTCCTAACTGTCACAGGTGTCTTTCTGTGGGCAAAGACACCATCACCACATTCTCTTCTCTTAAGTCCACAGGTTGAACAACCTCCACTTGAGCATCTGGAATCTGAAATGCTGTGTGACAATACATTGCTACAAGTGGAGACATCCACACCATCAAGCTTTCTTTCCTGAACAAACACTTTTGCATAAAATTATCATCAGGTTATGTATATAAGGTACATATGAAAATATGAATCATGCATGTATTTCCTATTTAGAAGAGTTCTATTCTCCCAAGAGATCTCATTGTGGGTATGCAGATATTCCAAAAACTAAAAAAAAAAAAAAAAAAAAGGAAAAAAATTGAAACCAGAAACATTTATAATCCTAAGTGTTTCAGATAAAGGATATCCAGCCTAAAGCAATCAATGTGTAGAATGGATTCTTTGGTGATGTTCTGTAGCAATTTGTAAACAGTTAAAAAATAAACTGGGGGTTAGAGAGATGGCTCAGTGGGTTGAGTGTTTGCCATGTGAGCAGCAGGACCTCAGTTTGGATCTCCAGGGCCCATGTAAGGCCAGGTGTTATAGCATTCATTTGCAATCCCACTGCTTCTGAGACAAGATGGGTTGTGGGACGTCTTCAGAAGCTCATGGGAAAGTTCACGTGGTATGTGCAGTGGCAAACAAGAGAGTGACTCATATAAAGCAGACAAGGACCAACACCCAAGCCTGTCCTCATGAGACACACACACACACACGCGCACACACACATACACACACATACACACATATACACACATACACACGCACACACACACATACACACACACATACACATACATACACATACACACACATGCACACACACACATCATTCAAATGGATAACACACAAAGGTAACACAGTGAATTGGTGGTAATCGTTCTATTAAAAGTAGATAAGCTAAAAGCAGTATTTAGAGAACAGTCGCACTCACCAGGATCTCATTGACATGTAATAGCTCTCAGATTTCCTGGAACCTTGGTCTGGACTATTGGATTCAATGGAGTCACAGGAATCATTGGAACCAGCGATACTCTCTAACTAAAGGCAGGAAGAATAGATGTAAGGAGACAGTTCTGCAGCTGGCCAGGCCCCTCCTTGCCTCACACTGCTCTGAATCTGGAATGATGCATCCTCCATCTCCAGGACAGCAGCTTTTCAGAAAATATCAGCAGCCTTAACCACAGGAGAGAGTCAAAGCCTGTTTCCCTTCCTGGGAGCCCTCATGCCCCATTCTAGACACATACGTTCCACGGGGAAGCTTTGGATTTTCCTTCTGCTTCATTCCCAGCCACTTAATGCCATGAGCCTTTCCCCCAGATGGTTGATTTTATGGATCATGGAAGCTGATTGGGCCAAAGACTAGACACAGTGCTTGCTTCACAACCACTGACACTTCTCTCTAGCTAGCCATTGACTTCCAGCCCGGGCGCAGCCTTCCAGTCAAGACACTCTTCCACACAGCTGTCTCTTCACCAAAGGCTGTCTTCCAGACCTCGAGTTTATGTGGTCTTCTTTGCCCAGGACTCCCTTTCCTTCTCCTTCCCAGTGAAGTCCTGTTGTTACCACACATTCCTGAAGCCCTCCTGACAACTGTGGTACAGCTTCATCTCCTTCCCCAGACGCCATATGCCACAGAGTGTCTACAGCCCATCCTTTCTACACACCGATTTGCTGGTTGTCCCAGAGAACACTAGTGTGGAAGTGTTCTTGGTGAAAGAAAATGTTCTATGCTTAAGAGACCATGGGCAATGCCTTGTGCTGTGCACTTGGCTACTTACAATGCAGGACTACATACCAAGTGCTCTGAGAATGGATTTGCTGTGATGGATGGCTTGTTTAAACCACTTGTAATTTAGCATATCCATAACCAACATGACCCCAGCATGCATCTTTAAGTTATATGTCACCACCTAGTAGAGACCCCCCAGTTTTGTAGACGACACTGCCCTTCCCCCATCATGTTGTCCTGTCAGTCCATTTCACGTTCTATGTCCGTGTCTACTGCAGACATAACTTCTTGGCCAATGTGTCTAAAAGTCAATTCATGTTTTACCACTTGCCTATTTAGAAGTTGTCTTTGTCCCTATGATTCTCACAGAATGACATCAACTTGGAATTAAGTGCCCATCATGGGCTGGCTCTTTTTTTTTTCCTGTTAACCTTCTACTCTGCCATTCACACACTCTGCACTGTAGCCTACCCAAGCAATTCAGCAGACATGGCAGTTGCCAGTGGTCTCTGAAGCTTGCTTGACTCAAATGGATAAAGAGAAGCAATCTGCCCTCTACATCTGATGACGTTAGACCACTCTATGTCTCTTTGGGTAGCATCATCTTTGGTAACAGAAGCTGTGGGCTTTGAAATATGGAGGACTGCGAGGCTCATCTCTGTTGCCACCATGCTGACTGAGCATGGTGCAGTGTCCAGCACTCAGAAGGGCTTCCAGTTACAAAGAGACTGCTCCACATACACCCGTCCAACCACTTTCCTTTCAGGCCAGACAGACTATCAAATCCCACTCTGTCCACCCAGCACTCCAGTGTCACCTCCTCTGCGGAACTTTCTCTGGTCTTTGGCCTGGAAGCCAGTTCACTCTTCCCATCACTGGTACAATGCAGCCATTGTGTAAGCATATGTCTTATGCTATGGTTGGCTTCTGTTCAGGTGCCAGCACCATGAGCAAGCCATCTGTCTCTGCCAGCTTTACCTTTGTGTCCTCCTGATCTCAGCCCGTTGTCCCAGCAGCAGTGGGCGGCAGAGGCTCCAGCAGGACGTGTTGGAGGCATGAATGGTTAGTGGGGCAGGGGAGGGACTTACTTCTGAAAGGATGCTTCGAGGAGAGAGGTAGTAGTTCTCTTCTTCTGTATCTTGAGGGGGTTCTGAGTGGAAATCGTGTTCACGATGAGGATGAGCTTGCCGGAGTCCTCGGGGGCATTTTTGTATTAAATGCTGAATAAGGAAAGTGCAGAAGTTAATGAGTTCCTTCCTGTTTCCGTCCTTCCCTCCTCCCTCCCTTCCCTCCTCTCTCCCTTCCCTCCTCCCTCCCTTCCCTCCTCCCTCCCTTCCCTCCTCCCCTCCCTCCTTCCTTCATATAGAATTAAACCAATACTTTGTAGAAAAAGTGTAATAGATTAGTTTGGTTGATAAGATCAGAGGCTATTTCAGTATGACATGCAGAAACCCACACAA